ACCACATTAGAAATTGAAACTGGAAAATTTAAAAAATATTTACTTAAAAGTAGTAATAAACCCATTGCATCTTAACACAAAGAAGAAAAATCTTTGACAACTAAATAGTGAGAAAAGTGGCATTGTTTTCCATTTTTGCAAATCTCTTTAATGTCTGGCTTAATGGAAATGTCTTTAATGTTGGATTCTCAGAGCTGCTGCTTCAAAGTCAGTCTGCTGTGATGTTATTTTGGTGAAGTATGTGGGGAAGATCCAGCCTCATACAAGTATGTCCGTAGAAAAGGGAAGAGTGTGTTGATAGTTTCAGATAATTATGGATATTTTTTTTTAATTTTTTTTTTTTGATGTTGCAACAGAACTCAACAAATGGTGCTTCCTTCAGAGTAGTTGCAGTATGTGCAGGCTGAGTCCCTATCAGTGAACTTCACATAGTCTGTTGTATTAAAATCCATTGGTCCAACTTGCGCTCTGGGTATGATATCACAAAATCATTTGGAAAATACCAAATCCCTGACTTTTGAAAATCTTCCAAATGTTGATGCATTTCATTATACAATGCAAAACACCATATTTGTTAAAATCATCAGAGAAGTCTTTTATGTATTGGGAAGCTGCCAACTCATAGTAGCAAATACAAATTTTCCAAAAGTCTAATTTTTCACTTGAAAGCTCAGATTTTATCATTGGCAACAAATACTGTCAAGTATTTCCTTGAAGTGACAGTCTCACTTTCTTCTAGTTTAAAAAAAAAAATTCTGTCAAATACTCAGTTTGAATAACCATTGTTTGTCTGTCAATCATCCTTCCAACTAAATGGTGTTCCATAAAAAGTGGCTATTTCAGCTCACAACCCAGACTTACGAGTGTTTTTCCTCGGGACAACCGTAATACTTGGCTCTGCAGCAGAAGTCCCTTATGCATGCTTGCCATTTTATCATCCCTGCTGTTAAAAAGATGTGTACTCGAGGGCGAAGGTTCAATGAAACTAATAACTTTTATTGTTTATAAGGGTATTTTAAATAAAAGTCATTTTAAAAAAATTGCAAGTAGCTGTGAAAAATACAGTGACTCTTACTGTGGTTTTTATGCTATTGTGAATATAGCTTGACCTCACAGTCCCTCTAAAAGGGTCTTGGGGTTCCTCGGAGGTCTGTGTACCGCACTTTGTGAACTGCCGAATTAATACATGTTAAGTGCTTAGAATGGTGCCTGGTACATAACTACTGTGTTTTTTAGTTATCATCATCGTCATCATCATTATTATTATTATTTGTGTGTTTGTACAAAATATCATCACCAGTTAGCCCCTGAAATCACTGATGGTTTTTAGGAGAGAACAGAAGGTGACATTATAACCCTCTATCTGTATGTACATTTTAAAATATAGCACACAGGCATATAGGTCACATGCTACAGGAAATGAACGGTTTTAGCATTTAATCAACTTTCAACTCACCCTTTCTGTTTTGCCCTTGCCCCAAGGTTTTATAATGACTTCAGCTAATTTAATAGTAACCGAACAATTTGCTTTTTTGCAGAGCAGCATAGAAAAGGCTGCCTTTGTCAGACTGTACTTGGTCTCTCAAGGACGATTCCCCTTGATGGGTTTGATGGATATCCTCAGCGTTGCTGTTCAGCACCGGGAAAAAGACACGCTAGCCTGGATGGTACTGCACAGCCTCTACCAGGCGCGGATTGTAAGCCACGCGAACACAGGTAAGGCCAGCCTGTGGGGACCAGCAGGAACAGAAAGACCGGCCTGCCATCCCTTTTAACTTGTAACTGTTTCCTCAACTTAAAAATGACGCTAGTGCTAATTGACCCAGGAGAGCTCTTGTTACCCCAAACAAGGAGCACCTTAAATGAAAAGATCAGTTACAACTCATGACCTCCACCCTGGAGATGGAACTGGATCCTGTTGGTGATTTTTACATTGTCTTTAGCTCTCCAGGCCCTCGAGTCTATAAACGAGTGTATTGGGTTGATTCTGCCTGCTTTCGTTTCCCAACCAGGATGTCAGTCAATTCTGTCTGATGTTTTCAGGAAAATGACTTTTAGGTGGTTACTTAACAAACAGATAAAAAGAGGAAAACAATGACAACAAAATTAAATTGTTATTCTATAGAAGAACTGCTCAGGGGGGTGAGGGGAATAAAATCGGGGCACCCTCACTACATCCTCAAGCCAGAAGCTCTAGGCCTGTAGCTCTGCTAATGAATCATACGGTGGAACTTTTAGACTATCATAGACCTTTACTCTTGAGTAATAATGGGTTCCCCCATTTCTCCTCCCATGCTTTTGGTCACATTGCTTATACTCTACCTACAGTTCTGAATGGCACCTAGCTTCAGTAGATCAGGCATGGTGGGGATGCCCTAGTGACCCCAGGCAAGTTACTTTTATTTCTGGATTTTTTTTGTATCTTCCTCATCTCTTGTATCTTGAAGGTTTTTTTGTTTTTGTTTTTGTTTTTTAAGATTTTATTTATTTATTTGACAGAGAGAGACACAGCGAGAGAGGAAACACAAGCAGGGGGAGTGGGAGAGGGAGAAGCAGGCTTCCCGCGGAGCAGGGAGCCCGATGTGGGGCTCAGGATCACGACCTGAACCGAAGACAGACGTTCAATGACTGAGCCACCCAGGCACCCCACATCTTGAAGGTTTTGAGAGAAAACTGGCAGACATAATTATAATACCCTTTTTGAGACCAGATAGGAAATTTTGATTTATTCTCCTCTTTGACAGTTGACATAGTTGTCTCATCTTTGCATCAGTGCCTGCCCCGTGATAAATGAACTTGTGATGAAAAACTAGATTTTTTTACTCTTAATCAAAAGGGCATTTATCAGGGAGAAATCTAATAGGTATTCCTAAGGAAGCGGGAAGATATGTGAAGTAAACTGGAATAAATTTGATATTGCCTTTGGTTTTAACTAGCTGGCCTTCCAGTTTAGTTCCCGTTTTCCTCTGACTCACTAAAATTTGACAGCCTTCCCAGGTAGGCTTTACTGTGCTGGGAATCCTCTTTTTTTTTTTTTTTTAAGATTGATTGATTGATTGATTGATTGATTGATTTGACGGAGAGAGACAAAGCAAGAGAGGGAACACAAGCAGGGGGAGTGGGAGAGGGAGAAGCAGGCTTCACGCGGAGCAGGGAGCCCGATGTGGGGCTCGATCCCAGGACCCTGGGATCATGACCTGAGCCGAAGGCAGATGCTTAATGACTGAGCCACCCAGGCGCCCCAAGGAATCCTCATTTTTAAAAAATAAAAAAGGAAGAATCAATACTTACGCTGATGTTTGTTCTCCAGTTACTGTATAATAGCCGGTTTTTATTTTTCTTCTCATGTCTTTGGGATAGGTTTTTCTTTTTGATTTGGGCATAAAATGGGAACACTGAAGTAGAAGACCATAAAAACAACTAATTATCCAAGGTTCAACATTACTGGCTAGCTGGCATGCCAGATTTCTCCTAGTATGTTTAATGTTGAGAGAGAAACTCCAATAAGTGCATTTTATCACTAGTGGGTGCATAGTTTTGAAGAATAAATGACCTTTTAAAAATAAAAGCAAAACTACAGTCATCTGATAAGAATAGTGTCAAAAAGCTCTCTCCTGCAAAATCACAAGTCTCAGGTATGGCAAGAGGATTTGAAACTGCTTCATGGAATCCTCCGCAGGTGTTCTGCTTTAGTTATGGTGGCTGGTACTGATCTGTTGTACATTTCATAGGAAAACCATGGTCTGGTAAGAAAACATCCCTTTTTGTTTCAGGTGTGTTGAAGAGAATGGAATGGCTCTTGGAATTGATGGGCTATATCAGAAATATTGCATACCAGTCAACATCTGTTCAGAACGTGGCTCTTGATGAGGTACAATCTAGAGGAGTCATTTGTGGCTCCCTTAAAATGTAGAACTTAACGTTTGCTCTCCCAAAAGACAAAAAAGTTGCTGCTTGCCCTTCCCCCCCACCCTTCCTTTTATGTTTGGGTAACGCTGGTGATAACTCTCTGATGTCACAAGGAAATGGATGTTCTTGCCTGGCTCTTGGAGACACCCAGGGCTGCCCTTAGAAAAATATTTTCAACAGAGTAAGTTCCTTGAGAGGCGGCACACAAAGGGCACTAGCCGATGAGGGAACCCAGGGTTCTGTGTACTTGGGTTTGACCCCACAGAGGAGATGAGGTACAGGGCTCTGGCCTTTGCACTGGCCCAGAGAATGTCTTCAAATGTCTGGTTTGAAGAGGTTCCTGAAGTGTATGCAAGTAACCTGTGTTTGCATCAGTACTTATGTGCATGAGAGGCGTAAAATGATGTATGACCCCCAAAAGGTTAACAACTGCTACTGGGTAAATTAGAACAGAAAAAGGTTAATAAATAAAAGGAAGATAGCTCTTTCCCACTCTTCTTATTTTCTTGACTTTGCTGCCCACTGTATATTTTTTAGTAGTAGAATTTTTCTGTAGGCATGTTTCACAGGTATCCTGTTTACTGTGTGAGTGGAATTTGTATAACCTGGGATGTTGTTTGAAATTCTGACCTGCTTTTCTGAAGAGTTGCATATATTTTTGAAATTTTAATGAGTGACATTATGAATTTTAAGAACTTAAGGAGTACTTTTTTAAACTTTTTTTTAACTAGCAGAATCTGTCATCCTTTTCTTCTGATCTCCTAAGTTTTTGTTACCTTTCTATTTTCTTACAAAAATCTTTTTTAAAACTTAAAAAATACAGATAAGAGAAAGAAGTGTAATTTGAGTCACAGTAATCCAACAACTCAGAGGGGCCCCTTGTTACCACCGTTTCTATAAGAGTGTAAATTAGTCTAAACTCTGAATGGATGGATGGATGGATTGATTGATTAATTTTAAAGATTTTATTTATTTGACAGAGACAGTGAGAGAGGGAACACAAGCAGGGGGAGTGGGCGAGGGAGAAGCAGGCTTCCCGCTGAGCAGGGAGCCCGATGCGGGGCTCGATCCCAGGACCCTGGGATCACGACCTGAGCCGAAGGCAGACGCTTAACGACTGAGCCACCCAGGCGCCCCTGAATGGATATATTTAAAATGCATGTGGAGATATATAGGCTGAGAAGGTGGCAGAATATGAGGACCCTAAGCTCACCTCATCCCATAGATACAACTAGATAACACTCACGTCAGTGTAACTAACCCAGGAAATGACCCGAAGGCTGGCAGAACAAACTCCTCAACTAACAGTAGAAAAGATGCCACATCGAAGAGGGTAGGAAGGGTGGAGACATGCTGGGGAGCTAAATGGACCACGGGTGTGGAGAAGGGGAAGAAGAAGGCTAACACATTGGGGAGCCCACGTGGGGTTAGATGAATCTCCATAATATTTGGCTTTGAAAACTAGAGGGGGTGAACTTTAGTGAGTTCTTACAATCAGCAGAATTTAAAGCCTGCAACTTTAAAAATCAGCAGGTTGGGTTCTGGGAGAACCTGGCCACTGAGAGAAAACTTGAGTCCCTGCCCTTAAAGAGACAGCACAAGAAACAGCCTGTGGAGATACAACATAGAAGGAGCAATTTGAAAAATGCCTGGGGTATAGGGAGGAAGAGTTATTCATCTCTACTACCCTGGAGGGGTCGTATTCACAGGGAGTCTCCTTCAGGACCAAAGGAGCTAGTAGGTGCCATTTCCCTCCCCTGCCCCCCAACATAAACACATAGCTACCTGAAGCCACCTGCAGAAACCAGTTTAGCACCCACACTTGTGACCTAACTTGCTTATACTACTCTCTGCCTCCCCACTCCACCCCCCGCCCCATAGCTCTGGGGATTTGCCCACCCCAGCTGGGCGTGCCTCAGTCCGTGTGCTATGGATCCCCTCCCCCAGAAAACCTCGAATTCTGCTAACTATGCACTTTGTGGGGCCTTGGCAATGGTGGTGGCAGCAAGTACCCTCTTGTGAAAGATGGGCACACACCTTGCTAAAACTGTGTGCCTGCCCACCCACTCTTTGCAGATCCACATGGGCTGGCCCTGTGGTGGTGGTGGGTCTTTCACAGCAAACCTAAGTCCACGTTGGTAAAAGTGCTCGCCCTACACTTGTATGCTTTGTGGATTGGCCCAGCCACTGTGGTCCGAGAGGTAGCAGCACATCCCCTCTCTCCGTGTGCAAACCTTGAGGGCTCTGCACATCTCACTCCCAAGCACATTGTAGATCCGCCTCCTCCAATGTGCTCTTGGCCAAAGCCCATTCAAACTGAAGCCACAAGCCTGGAAAAGTGTGCTAGCAGCCTGGACAGGGACCAACACCACTCCAAAGTGATTCCTGCCCTGGGGAGAGAGAAAGATAAACACCACACTGGTTAGACTGTGCCCCCGCAGTGGGCTGGGGACAGACAGTTCTGATTGCGGGCCCTGCCCACCAATGAAGGCTTCTCAGGGGACAGCACAGGGAAAGTGCTCTGCAGTTTGGTGCCATTGCATCTCTGCCAAACACCTGACTCAACTCAACATCTCTGCCAAACACTCTGACTCAACTCAAGCACAAAGCAGCACCAGACTGGCCCACTAATAACATAGGAGGCACGCCTGAAGTGCCAGGTTCTGGTAAACAGGGGAAAGTGCCCTGCAGAGGACCACAGGACCTCTTCTTCATAAAGCCACTACTTTGAAGAGCAGGAGACATAGCTGACTTTCAGACACACAGAGTTAGACAAAACGAGGAGACGGGAATATGTCCCAAATGAAAGAATAAGACAAAACCACAGCAAGAGTCCTAAGCAAAATGGAGATAAATAATATGCCTGATAGAGAATTTAAAGTAATGATTATAAAGATACTCACTGGACTTGAGAAAAGAGTGGAGGACATCGGTGACACCCTTTACAAACAGATAAAGAAGAATCACAGCTGAAAAACACAATAAATGAAATTAAAAATACCTTAGATGGAATAAATAGCAGAGTATAGGAAGCAGAAGAATGAGTCAGCAACCTGGATGACAGAGTAATGGAAAATAATCAAGCTGAGCAGGAGAGGGAAAAAAAAGTATGCAAAATGAGAATGGACTAAGGGAACTCAGCCACTCCATCAAGCGTAATAACATTTGCCTTATAGGGATCCCAGAAGAAGAAGAAAGACAAAAGTGAGTAGAAACTTTATTTGAAGAAATAATAGAAAACTTCCCGCATCTGGAGAAGGAAACAGAAATTCAGATACCGGAGGCACAAAGATCTCCCAACAAAATCAGTCCAAGGAGGTCCATCCAAGATACATACTAATCAAAATGGCAAAAAGTAGTGATAGAGAATTTTAAAAAGCATCAAGAGAAAAGAAGACCACACAAGAGAAACCCCACAAGGCTATCAGATTTTTCAGCAGAAACTTTACAGACCAGAAGAGAGTGGCATGATATTCAAAGTGCTAAAAGGGAAAAATCTGCAGCCAAGAATACTCTATCCAGCAAGGCTATCATTCAGAATAGAAGGAGAGAGAAAGAGTTCCCCAGATAAACAAAAGTTAAAGGAATTCATGACCACTAAGCCAGCCCTACAAGAAATACTAAAGGGGACTCTTTGAGGGGAAAGGAAAAACCATAGGTAAGAATAAGAAATTAGGAAGCATAAAAGCAGTAAAAATAAATATATCCGTAAAAAATAGGCAAGGAATTCACAAAGTAAAAGGATGTAAAGTATAACACCATAGACCTAAAATGTATCGGGAGGAGTAAAGAATGGGTTCAAACTTAAGTAATCATTAACTTAATAGAGACTGGTATATGCAGAAGATGTTACATACAACCCTAATGGTAACCTATCAGTAATAATTGTGAATGTGAATGGACTAAATGCTCCAATCAAAAGACATGGGATGACAGAATAGATTAAAAAACAAACAAACAAGACCCATCTATATACTGCCTACAAGAGACTCATTTCAGACTTAAGGACACCTGCAGATTGAAAGTGAGGGGATGGAGAAGTACTTATCATGCAAAGGGAGGTGAAAAGAAAACTGGGGTAACAATACTTATATAGGACAAAATAGACTTTAAAAGAAAGACTGTAACAAGAGACAAAGAAGGACACTATATAATCATAAAGGGTACAATCCAACAAGAAGGTATAACAATTGTTAACTATGCAACCAACATGGGAGCACTCAAATACATAAAACAGTTAATAATAAACATAAAGGAAGTAATCAACAGTGATACAATAATAGTAGGGGACTTTAACATCACCCCACTTAACATCCATGGGCAGAGCATCCAAATAGAAAATCAACAAGGAAACAGTGGCTTTGGATGACACACTGGACCAGATGAATTTAACACATATTCAGAACATTCCATCCTAAAACAGCAGAATACACATTCTTTTCAAGTGCACATGGAACATTCTCCAGAACAGATCACAAAAGAAGGCCACAAAACAAGTCTCAATAAATGAAAAAAAAAAAAAAATTGAAGTCATACCAGACTGATTACCAGCAATGAAATCGAATCAGTAATCAAAAAATTCCCAACAGACAAAAGTCCAGGACCAGACGGCTTCACAGGTGAATTCTGCCAAACATTTGAAGAGTTAATACCTATTCTTCTCAAACTTTTTCAAAAAATAGAAGAAGGAAAACTTCCAAATACATTCTATGAGACCAACATTATTCTGATACCAAAACCAGACAAGAGACACCACAAAAAGAGACTACAGGCCAGTCTCTCTGATGAACATAGATGTAAAGATCCTCAACAAAAATATTAGCAAACCAAATCCAGCAATACATTTAAAAAATCATTCACCACAATCAAGTGGGATTTATTCCTGGGGTACAAGGGTGGTTCAGTATTTGCAAATCAAACAACATGATACATCACATCAGTAAGAGAAAGGATAAAAACCGTATGATCCTTTCAGTAGATGCAGAAAAAGCATTTGACAAAATAGAACACCCGTTCGTGATAAAAAAACTCTTATAAAATGGGTTTAGAGGGAACATACCTCGACATAATAAAACCACATGTAAAAAACCCACAGCTAACATCATACTCAGTGGGGAAAAACTGATAGCTTTTCCCCTAAAGTCAGGAACAAGACAAGGTTGTCCACTCTCACCACTTTTATTCAACATAGTACTGGAAGTCCTAGCCACCGCAGTCAGACAACAAAAAGAAAAGGCATCCAAATTGGTAAGGAAGAAGTGCAACTACACTCTTTGCAGATGACATGATACTGTATATAGAAAACCTAAAAGACTGCCAAAAAACTGCTAGAACTGATAAGTGAATTCAGTAAGGTTGCAGGATATAAAATCAGTGTACGGAAATCTGTTGCATTTCTACACACTTATAATGAAGGAGCAGAAAGAAATTAAGAAACAGTCCCATTTGCAATTGCACCAAAGATAATAAAATACCTAGGAATAAACTTAACCAAGGAGATGAAAGACTTGTATGCTGAAAACTGTAAAACATTGATGAAAGAAAATGAAGACGACACAAAGAAATGGAAAGACAGTCCATGCTCATGGATTAGAAGAACAAATAATGTTAAAATGTCTATACTACCCAAAGCAGTCTACAGATTTAATGCAATCTCTATTATAATACCAACAGTAGTTTTTACAGAACCAGAACAAACAATCCTAACATTTGTTTAGAACCACAAAAGACACTGCATAGCCAAAGCGTCTTGGAAAAGAAAAACAAAACTGGAGGCATCACATTTTCAGACTTCAAGTTCTATTACAAAGCTGTAATTACAAAACAGTATGGTACTGGCATGAAAATAGACACATAGGCCAATGGAACAGAATAGAGAGCCCAGAAATAAACCCACAATTACATGGCCAATTAATCTGCAACAAAGGAGGCAAGAATATGCAAAGGGAAAAAGACAGTCTCTTCAACAAATGGTTTTGGGAAAACTGGACAGCCACATGCAAAAGAATGAAACTGGTCCACTTTCTTACACCAGACACAAAAATAAACTCAAAAGTGGATTAAGGACCTAAATGTGAGACCTGAAACCATTAAAATCCTAGAAGAGAGCACAGACAGTAATTTCTCTCACATCAGCCATAGCATCATCTTTTTAGATATGTCTCCTGAGGCAAGGGAAACAAAAGCAAAAATAAACTACCGGGACTGTATCAAAATAAAAAGCTTCTGCACAGCAAAGGAAACAACAGAACTAATGGACAGCCTACTGAAAGGGAGAACATATTTGCAAATGACATATCTGATAAAAGGTAAGTGTCCAAAATATATAAAGAACTTCCACAACTCAACACCAAAAAAAAACCCCCAAACAATCCCGTTAAAAAATGGGCAGAAAACATGAATCGACATTTCTCCAAAGAAGACACACAGATGGCCAAGAGACGCATGAGAAGATTCTCAACACCACTCCTCATCAGGGAAATGCAAATCAAACCCACAATGTGATATCACCTCACACCTGTGAGAATGGCTAAAATCAAAAACTCAAGAAACAACAAATGTTGGTGAGGATGTGAAGAAAAAGGAACCCTTAAGCACTGTTGGTGGGAATGCAAACTGGTGTAGCCACTGTGGAGGATGGCATGGAGTATCCTCAAAAAATTAAAAATAGAACTACCCAGGGGCACCTGGGTGGCTCAGTCGTTAAGCATCTGCCTTTGGCTCGGGTCATGATCCCAGGGTCCTGGGATCGAGCCCCGCATCGGGCTCCCTGCTCTGCGGGAAGCCTGCTTCTCCCTCTCCCACTCCCCCTGCTTGTGTTCCTGCTCTTGCTGTGTCTCTCTCTGTGAAATAAATAAATAAAATCTTAAAAAAAAAAAAATAGAACTACCCTATGATCCAGTAATTGCATCACTGGGTATTTACCCAAAGATTTACAAAAACACTAATTCAGAGGGATATATGCACTCCTATGTTTATAGCAGCATTATCAACAATAGCCAAAGTATGGAAGCAACACAGGTGTCCACTGATAGGTGAATGGAAAAAAAAGAGATGAGACACACACACACACACACACACACACAGAGATATTATTCAGCCATAAAAAAGAATGAAGTCTTGCCATTTGCAATGACATGGATGGATCTAGAGAGTATAATGCTAAGCAAAATAAGCCTGTCAGAGAAAGACAAATACCATATGATTTCACTTATATGTGGAATTTAAGAAACACAACAGACAAAGGGGGGAAAAAAGGAGACAAACCAAAAAAAACCCCAAAAACCCAGACTCTTAACTGTAGACAACAAACAGATGGTGACCAGAGGGGAGGGGGGTGGGTGCTGGGTGAGACAGGTGAAGGGAATTAAGACTACACTTACCTTGATGAGCAGCTGAGTAATACATGGAATTGTTGAATCACTATATTATATACCTGAAACTGTAATACACTGGAATTAAAATTTAAACTAATCCTTGGAATTACAGATATATATAGGTCCGGAGAGATATATAGGTCTGGACTCTGGTGAGTCTATTTCAGTTCATGGCTGAACATACTGAAAAAATTGTTTAAAAAAAAAAATGCCTAATGATTTGTTGTGACTGACTCCCTTATTCCAAGAATGCTTGTTTTTAGTCTGTCTTCATGCTTACGTTTCAGCATTAATGGAACAAAATCAAGTGTTTGCCACTGAAATATTTAGATTAAATAATGAGAACAGAAAAATAAAATGCATGGGGAGAGTCATTTGTTATTGTTCAAAAGTGGGATCAGACTATACCTCTTTTTAAAAATGTTTTGGCCACCTAACAATAGCTCTAAATATCCCTTTCCATATCACTCGTAATGAATTCTTTAATCTCTTTGGAAACACCAAAACAGAGGAGTATCGGGATCTCCGTATGATTAGGAATGAAATAAGGTTTCTCCTGCATTATTAGAGCAATAATAATGCAACTGTTGGGCCTTCTGTCTTACAAAAGAGGATCCCTACAATCTTCTGGAGCCCTGAAATGTCTATTCTTTAAGTGTGGAAATGGAGTTTGCTGTTCAGTCCGGTTCCTCTTCTTGGGTGAAGGGGAAGGTAACATTGCATCATCCTGACTTGGGCTGTGTGTGTGTGGACATGCGTGACTCTGAATTGTTAAAACATGTGACCTTTGTTTCTATTTCCTTTGGAGGCTTTGGACTTCTTATTGCTGCTGTTTGCAACCGCAGTGGTGACCTGGGCAGACCACGCGGCCCCTCTCCTCCTTGGCCTCAGTGCTAGCTGGTTGCCATGGCATCGGGAAGATGGCCCAGCTGGGTCAGCTTCAAGCTTCCTTGGCAGGAGTCCAATGCACAGGGTCACTCTGCAGGAGGCTCTCACTCTCCTTCCCAGTAGCATGCCTCTTCTGCTACAGAAAGAGCCGTGGAAGGAACAGACCCAGAAGGTGAGGTTGGCAGCCACCTGCGTGTCAGGGCAGGTGGCCCATCTTCTCTTGAGCAATTTCTGCTGTAGGGTTGAGGTTGGAAGTTAAGTGTAACTGGAATCACCCCACGGTCTTTGATCCTCAGCCCCCAACCGCAGCCAGATGCAGAGCCTCAGAGCTTGAGGCTAACTGGTGGCCAAAAACAACAATGACAATAGTAGCGACTTGCTTACAGCCGGAGGTGAGCCGGAAAGAAGAGCTTATACTTGCCCTGGGGTATTGAAGGCACATGTGTTCTTGATCCTGGGGGGGAAAGGATGAGTGAGGCTCTGAGCGCTCAGAATGACAGAGTGAGGACCGGTAGGAAGGCAGGTTCAGGGCTGCAGGGATCATAGGACGGGGAAGATAGGGTGGTGCTGAGCAACGTTGGGGACGATCCATCATGCTGGGGGGGTTGGGGAAACGGGCATCTGGAACAGCCACATTCTTGTAGCACACTTAAGATTCCTCAAGGCTCATTCGGTCCTATAGCCACGGTCCAGGGGCCTGTCCTCCTGATCTGTTCTCATGATATGGGGAAATTTGTAAAGGTCATCACCCTAGCCCGCAGGAAAATCCAGACTGTAGGAAGCACTTTTTGGTTTTTAATGTTGAGTTTCCCCAGGCTACTGGCCGTTGTGCGCAGCGTATGGAAATACTATGCTTCCTCTACTTCTCGTTCCATGGCTCTGGGCAGCCTTTCGTACAGTCGAGGGAGAGATTCTTTTTTGAATCCCATTTAAGGAAAACTGGATTTTTATGAGGTTGAAAGCCTAAAGCCAACTTTTTGTGGCTTATTGTGAAAATCTGAACATTAGTCTTTAAAAATATTTCTGAACTATGGACCCACGGGTTAGCCATGCACAACTCCACTGAGCATCTCAATTAAAAGACCTTTGTTTTCTTAAGCATTCATATTATACCAAATCTTGTGTTTGCTGTTTCATTTTAAATCAAAATCAATTCAAATGTGGCATCCCCTTGTGTTTTTTCTGGCCTGGGACACCACGATCACTTCGGACTACAGTGCAGACATCCTGTGTCTACTATGTATTTGTAGTGCTTGACCTATTTACTTACCAGTCAGTTATTATAAAATAAAATTGAGGAAAAGAAAATTTTTTAAAAATTTAATCAAAACAGAATTAGGAATATTTGCTTTCTATCTGATGCTTTCTTACAAGCCAGTTTCTACATCCAAGTTAAAATACCTAGTACCTCTGACTAATGTATGTGTTTTTTAGTGAGTCGAGATTGGCAACATTCAGTCATTAATGGAATTACCCTCTATCTAATATAAAAACAATTTTGGTGGTACCCTGGGAGATCAGTCAAACTCCTGAGTAGTCTGAGTTTCTACCTCGTTTGTAGAATTTATTTGCAGTTAACATACTCGGCTGTACCTAGTAAATTATTTGATGCCTTTCTCTTGCATTTCAACTTACTGTTTCAATTCCATTTGGGCACAAATTGTTCTCATCTACAGAATATCTGATTTTAGAAATGGGGGCTTATGTCTGACGTGTTTCCCTATTTACTACCCGCCCTGTGAGCCTGGGCCTAGATGCATGCAGCATCAGGCAGCAGGATGCAAAGAAGGAGCGCAAGGCTCTGAATTGGGTTGAAATCTGGACTCTGCCATTCATTGGGAGTGCACTTGGGCAAGGTTCTTAACCTCTCTGGTGCTCTCAGAGTAATGAGAGAAAGTTCATGGCATACTGGAGGCCTACTGGGCCCATGTCTACCTCACTGTTAAAATCCATAGCAGGTCTCAGGGTATTTAGCTGAGAAAGGAGATTTGACTTTGCTGGGTCATTGGACTAAATGGGAGCTGTGTCCAGCTTCCCCATCTCTTAGGCCTGGTCCCCTTCTCATCTCCATCTGCCAGCCCTGCACTGAGATGAATGTATGCAGGCCCAAGGGCCTGATCACTCTTTTATTAATAGTGGGACTGTCTTCACTGATACTGCTCTTCCTTTTCACCCTAGTTCATTGACTGGCTCTTCAGCATCATGGAAAGCCCTAAAGAAGGCCTCTCCACAAAATCCAGGGATCTTTTAAAAGGTAGAACTTCCATACCACATGCGCAACATAGGTGAAAGCCATCCGTGGCTGTCTTTGCTACAGAAGCATCATTCTCGTGTATATTGCCTCCCGAAAAGGCTCATCTGAACTCAGTGTAGAGAAGTAATCTGGAACTGTCATTATGTGGCATTTTGAAGGAGAAAGTGGATTTAAAAAGAGTTCCATGCCTTTAAATTTTGCTTTTATTTAAATAGCTTTTAAATGTTTTATGACGGCAAACTTTCACTTTAATGAAAGTTTAAAAAATTCAGGAAAGACCAAAGAGGAACCTGGAGTCCCATTGCCCAGTGGCAATTTTGATTATTTTTTTCCTAAGAAGTTTTTGCCCCCTCTGCATATGAGTGTTGTTCTAACACATTTATAATCATTGGGCAACTGAAAAAATACACATAGACACTTTGAGCACTACCTTTATTTAAAAACTATGTTTAAAGCATTTTAAACTATCCCTATTTTGGCTTCGTTAATAGTATTTATAGTAGTGGCATAGTATTTTGCCAAGGGAACTGGACATTGCCTATGCTTTCAGGCGTTTAAATAGTTTTTGTGTTTTTTATACTTCTCTACTGACTTGTTGGACTATGACTGTGGGAACCACAAACAGAGAATATCTTTCTGTGAAAATTACGTACATTATTTTACTCAAACCTGAGACTTCCGTTAGGCATTGTTTGTGTGGCCTGAGACACCTTGTCCTGTCTTTTGTGTCTCAGGACTCGGGGGTCTGGTCCAGCCAATGGCTTCTGTTGAGATGGTCGCTGACACGCTATAAAATAATGCACTGGGAAACCTCAGCTTGGGAAAATCACCTCCTGGCCTACACTTGGGATAATTTCAAAGATTTTTTTTTTAAGATTTTATTTATTTATTTGAGAGAGAGAGAGAATGAGAGATAGAGAGCACGAGAGGGAAGAGGGTCAGAGGGAGAAGCAGACTCCCCGCCGAGCAGGGAGCCCGATGCGGGACTCGATCCCGGGACTCCAGGATCATGACCTGAGCCGAAGGCAGTCGATTAACCAACTGAGCCACCCAGGCGCCCCACTTGTGATAATTTATCTGGCCTGCCTGGAGTCTTAGCATGACCATATTTTACCCTTAGTATGATATAATTTGTTGGTGGCCAAACAAGTAAGAATTCCGTAATCAGTTGGTTCTGATCCTTCTCCCTACCCCCCTCCCCCCACACATGCGAAGGGCGTGAGTAGGAAGTGGAGTGTGATCAAGCACAGAACTTCACTGGGCGTAAGGGCCGTGGTCTGACATACGTTTACTTGATCCGTCCCTAGAGACTTCATAGGATTGTCTTCATTTGTTTGCCTCAGGAAGTTTGAACTCATTCTTAATGGCCATGGGTCTATAATACCATTGGTTGCTCCAAACATACACCGTTTTAGGTCATGAAGATAGCAAACAAGTTGATACTGATGAGGAGAATAGTTATTTGGGTCAAGGAAGTACATGTTCACTTGATTAGATAGTCAAGGGCTTATTAGAGTCACACACAAGAACTGTGTAACTGGCTTCCCTACATTTCCTCCCTATTATATTTTAAATAACATCTCGATATATTTATATTAATATCCTAAAATAAGATCTATAATAAGTGACCTAGAGGAATTACACAGAGCTGCCCTACTCTAAATTGATCCCTGAGGGACCCGTGATGAATAAGAAAAGGTGTGGACTTGTGAGCACATAGTTGAATACAGATTAGCACAGTCATGCGTGCTCCATTGAGCAACGAGGACCTAACTTCATTGCAGGATCAGTTTTTTATTTTTGTTTCTTACCTTTCAACTAAACATCTGATGGAAAAATCATATTCATGTAGAAAAGTACACAAATCGTTAAGTAGCTTTTTTACAAAGGGAACACACCTATGTAATCATCACCCAGATGAAGAAAAGAAAAAAAATCAGCATCCAAGAAGGCAATTTTTGTTAAACTCTGCCGAATTTTCTGTTAACTGGTTGCAGAATAACTTAACAACAAAGAAACCCTTTCCCCCAGATTTTATTAATCGTGCTCTACTATTCAAATTCTGCCTAAGGCTTGATGAGAATTCTTAGTCTTGAAGATGAGCCAAGTAAAAAAAAGCCAAGTTCTGTTCTGACACGTTTTCCATCTAAATGACCTTTTCAAATGCTGTTTCACCAAATGCAACAGTGCACTTTACTTTTTTTGTCCCCTTAGCTACCCTGTTGTCCTTGAGAGTTCTCCCAGAGTTTAAGAAGAAGGCTGTATGGACCAGAGCATACGGTTGGTGATGTTTTGGGGGTAGCCAGCAGTATCCTCAGCTGGATGAGGAAAACCATAGAAATGGAAGAAGGTTTTCAGAATTCATGCCTGGGATCACGGAGCCATGATGCAGAGGGTCAAGGGGCATGAAAAGGTGGACACAAAACTGACCCCTTGACAGGTGCATGCCAAGAGAAGGGGGCATTGCTTCAATGCCCAAGCCAGTTGGGACTGAAACCAGAACTTGAATTTTCTTTTGTTTGGCTGGAGTTCAACCTGAAGATTTTCTTTGTGGAAACTTGACTACGTTATCTTCTCCCCATAAATTCTAGTAAAATAATCTTGT